ATACAATTACAAGACTGACTCTGAAAACTTATATAGAGAACGCTTAATGTTATTTTACCCATGGAGAAATGAACTTTCAGATTTGCAATGTGGACATGAAACATATGAAAAAATGTACCTGAGTGTTTCAAGACTATTAGAAAAGAAAGCTAAGCAATATGAAGCAAATGTAATAGATCTAGAGAAAGCTATAGAAGAGGCAGAACATGATTGTAATGAGAATGATCAAATAGCACCTGCTACTCAACAAGTAGAAATGGAAGATGCAGAAATAGGCCCAACAGAATCTGAACAGTATGTTCATTTCAATCCAGATAGACCAACAGAACATAGACTGTATGATATGTCTCGTGAATTTGGAATAGAAGCAAGAACAGTAGAATTCACAAATCATGCCAACAGAATAAGTGAGAGTGATTATTTTGCATTGATTAGATCCTTGAATAAGAAACAGTGGGAATTTTTCCAACATCTTGTTACTTGGTTTAAAACAAAACATGAACCATTTTATACATTTTTGACAGGTGGAGCAGGATGTGGAAAATCTGTTGTTGTCAAAGCAATTTTTCAAGCTTTACACAGACACTTATGTTCTACTGAAGGCGAGGACCCTGACGATATTAGAATTCTTCTTTGTTTCTTACTGGAAAGGCAGCTTACAATATAAATGGTCTGACCATTCATAATGCGTTCCAGATCCAACCAAATAAAGGTCTTGACCAGTCACTGTCATGTGATGTCCTCAATACACTCCGAACTAAATACAGAAATTTGTCTCTGATTTTGATTGATGAAATTTCCATGGTTGGTAACAAAATGTTCTCTTTGCTTGAGACAAGGCTGAAAAAAATCAAGGGTAGCAACTGTTCATTTGGTGGCGTGAGTATCATAGCTATTGGTGACTTTTTCCAACTCCAACCTGTATTTGACAGTTGGATTTTCAATGATCTTAGCAAAGGTTTAACAGCATTAGCACCTACTTACTGGAAAATATTATTTTCTTTTCATGAACTCACTGAAATAATGAGACAAAAAGATGATTTAGAATTTGCTCAGTTACTAAATAGGTTGAGACAAAATCAGCTAACTGAAAATGACTTTGCAGTTTTAAGCACCAGAACTTTTTCAATTAGTGATCCAACATACAGAACTAATGCTACTCATTTGTTTGTTGAAAATGCTTTCGTGGATAATTTTAATTTGCAATACATATCTAAATTATGCTCACAAAAGGTTAGAGTTAAAGCAGTCGACACAGTTTGCGGGGATTTACCAGCATCTGTAAAAACAAAATTACTTAGTTCTTTACCAGAAAAACAGTCTGATACAGCCAATCTTGCAAAAGAAGTAGTATTAGCAATTGGGATGAAATATGATCTTACAGCTAATATTGAAGTCATTGATGGTCTCACAAATGGTTCAACTTGTGAACTTAAATTGATTGAGTGCAAAACTACATCTTTAAGACCAAGTATCATATGGGTTAAGTTTGAGGATGCCAGAATTGGTGTTAACAATAGAAGAAAATATTCACACTTGTATGGAAAAGATGTTGAAAAAACATGGACTCCAATGTTCGACATTAAAAGGTCATTTTCTTTTAAATATAAGACTTTCGAAAGAATTCAGTTTCCTCTTCGTCCAGCAGCTGGAAAAACAATCCATAAATCGCAAGGAGATACATTACATGAAGTTGTTGTTAGTCTGAAATCAAAGCGCGAAGGGAAAATACCACATATTCACTATGTAGCACTTAGCAGAGTAACATCTTTATCTGGATTACAGATATTAGATCTCAATCAAGAAGCAATAGCTGTAGCAGAATGTGTTAGACAAGAATTACACAGGCTAAGGACAAATGCAACTCTACAGTTGTGCTTTAAGCCATTGTATAACTTATCAAGTAACTATTTTAAAGTAGTCTTCAATAACTCAAGGTCATTGCATGCTCATTTTAATGATCTAAAATCAGACCCTAACATCTTGGATGCTGATGTTATTGGTATTGCTGAATCGAGACTTATTTCAACAGATGTAAATGAGGATTTTTATGTACCTGGTTTTGAACCACCAGTTCGCTTAGACCAAAAGCAAACAAACTTAAATACAAGACCACCGCATGGATTGGTATTATATTATCGAACTGATTGTGTTCTTCACAATACATTGACTTACTCAACTCCAACTTTAGAGTTTATAATAGCAGACATAATATCCTCCAGCAAAGGTCTTTTTCAGGTTGTCTTTGTTAACCAAAGCACCAAACTGCAAATTGCAACAACTGAAAGATACTTTCCTTGCAGACCTTCTTCCTGATGTGTATTTAAGACATCCAAAAATTATCATAATGGGAGACTTTAATATTGATTTAAACACTGGAAACACTTCTTTTTTAAAGTTCATGAGAGATACATTTTGTTGTTCACAAATTGTGTCTAAAGCTACTACATTCTATGGCACATTGTTGGACTTAATTTTCCTAAATTTTGATAGTAAGATAAACTTTAAATTAGATGTTCTTCATTGCTTTTGGTCAGATCATAAAGTAATATATGTGGCCATTGAAACACAATGATTCAGTGTACTGATTATTGTATGTACCAAAACCAGCTTTCTTTGAAACGTTGAAAATTAAACCTGCTGAAAAGGTTTGGCACATTTAAGGTTGCTTAAAATGCAACCTCAAATGTGCACGGAGTGGTTTTAAAGAAAAAATAGGTTTCCACTCCAACAGATTTGTCTTTTCACAAGTAGGAATAGAAATGAGTTCTTTAAAATAGTGGCATTCAAGACTCCTGTTATCTAGTATTACCTGTATATACTAGGAGAGAGCTTCTTTACAAAGCTTTTTTCTTTATAGCTACACTGGATTTAGGGTAGATGAGGTAAAGAAATTTGAAAGTATGTTACTTTGACTTAAATAAGCAGAACTCTTGCTGATTGTTCAACCGTTTTGCTATCTAAGAGGAGTAACAATCTATTAATTTCAAGTCGATAATGATTGGAGACATTAAATTTTAGCATCTCTACTACCTGAATGTTCAATGTATCAGTTGAGAGTATCATACACTTTGTATGTGAACACTCCTGATATTTACTACAATCATTGTTTTTATATATTTTTTTTTCTGTGTGGACCTTTTTCTAGACTTATATATATCTAAGTCTATAAAAAGTTCCTACCAGCAAATTTATTATTTAATATGTACTGGATCGTCTAGAATATACGGTACTGTGCAGATAAGAAAACAATTATATAAGTCTTAAAGTATGCACAACTACTAGTACCATAGTGCAAATTTTTACACTTATATATGTTATATATGCTTAAAATTTTCATTTTTGAACACTATAAAAAAAAAACATTTCTTTAATATACATGTAGATGTAAAATAAAGGAGTTTTGATGGCCACGTTTAATGTCACATTTCTCTTCCTACAAAATAAATAATTTTAACATTCTGTTTGATGAACTATGACTAAATCATCAACATGTTGTTTATGACTGTTAAAATCCTTAATGTCACTTCTATCAATTGTATAATAAACACTATAATTACGTGCATATATCCATTGTAATTTTTTTTATAGATTATTTGATACTTTCTTCAATTCTTTTGTTCAATATATATATATATATATACAAGTCTAAATTGAAAACAACGTTCAAACCTATGATTGCGTTGGATAAAAACCGCAATTTTTATACGTGTGCATGTAAAACAAATTTCTTGGTAGAGGGGTCTAAATACAGCACAAACAACATTTTCCAAAAGACCAAAAAAGTGAAAAGTATATTTTAACAAATCGCATTTGACCAACAGGTCGAACAACTGATGTTCTTAAACCCTGCTGACTGCCATTGACAATTGCCAAATAAATTGATCACGAGATGTAACATGGATCTTAATTATTAATTTAATACCAAATAGAAAACAATAAACTTGCGGAGAAGATGGTATACCGCAAACATGGGGTGCAAAAATTTGTACACCATATCCGGATTTCGACAATTAATATATATATATATATATATATATATATATATATATATATAAGTGCCTATAAATAGCAGCACATGACATACAAATCTATGGGAGTGTGGATTAATCAGTACAGAGATTAATTCAATTACACAAATAAAATTATAGATTGCCTAACAATGTAATTTTAACACACTATTTAGTATGTAAATATAAGAATGTTTAAAATATTTACAAAATGATGAAAATAAACGCAATATTTCGCTAGACTAACTAGCTTTATCAAGCGTGCATCTATCCAGGTGAAATCGGATGTAGATGATAAGAAACTTTTGCAGCTCAATGTATATGTTGCACTTGAATTTAGCTGCCTTGAAAATAATACATAATTTGGATGAAGTTCAAGATTTTTACAAAATTGGTAGTTGAAGTTAGCAACGTCCATTGGCCAATATTACAGGATAAAAAGGACGACGCTGTGTACTAAATTATTCTTTATCTTTCCTGTATCTTTTCTCATCTTTTTCGTTAAGACCATCAGGTTCTAAAGTGTGGAGTTGGTGGATCCAAAAATTTTCTCTTCTCCTTCTCGCCGTGGTGTCCCACTCGGTGTTGACTTCTATGATTTGGAAGGTAACATTATCAAAAGAATGTTTCGTTGAACGAAGATGTCTTGTGAGAGGACAGTTTTTGTTGGTTGTGTACCATGAACGATGGTTATTGAGCCGAATATTAAATTTGTCCATTGTTTCTCCCACATACTGAATGCCACATGTGTCACATGTTAATATATAAATTGAGTTCTCCGTTTTACAGTTGGAATTTGAGTAGATGGTATAATTTTGTTTAGTAACGGAGCTGATGAAAGAACTGCTTGTATTGGCAGCTTTACAACACAAGCAGTTCCTTCGACCACATTGTTTGTAGCAACCGGGAGATGGAGTAGGCTGCTTTGCTAATACAGATGTCACTAATTTGTCACGGATGTTTTATATATAAGTTTATTCACTATACATTTATCATGTTAATGTACAATTTACTTTTATAATACCAAATTTATCTGTATATTTGTTTTATCTAATATTCATTTACATTGATAATTCTCTTTAAAAAATGCATAAATCTGGCTTTTTTTGTTTCTTAGGATATCAGCTGTTGTTATACTTAGAACAAGTTTATCAAAATGTGTAAATCATTATTTCATTGAAATAGTTGAATGTTGATTTTTTTTTTTTTTCATTGAACTGTTGTTCTACTCAACTATCTGTTTGCTTACATTTGATTGATGTGTAATAATCATTCATAAAACAGTAATTATTGAACATTTCGTGTAAACATTTGCTTTTAAGAATAGAAATTTGTCAACATTAATGATACTGTAATATTATGATAAGCCAAATTGTAAACAAACTGCTGAAAATAATTTGAATTATACAGATTGTTTCAATAATTGTTATACTCCAATTTTCATGGTTTTTACATTACTCTTTTTTCAATGAGAAATTCATTAAATTTTGAAGCATATACTATTTAGGTTTTAAAGTGTATTTTCTATTTTCACTCCAATTTCAGTGTATTTATTGGACTTTGTTGTCATTTTTTGTGTGTGGTATTAAGATAAAACCTCTTGTTTTTTTCAACGTAATACCCCCCTGCCAGCAAAAAACCGCGAAAACTTTTGATATCATCGGGCTTTTACCTTCTTTATATCTTGTAAAAGTAAAGGTAAAAACCCGATGGTATGCGGAAGTTCTGGGGGTTTTCAGAGAAACGCTCATTTACAACTGAAAATGGCTAAGCGTCCTAATCCATCTACATCTTCATCAGAGGAAATTGTTGGTTATTTGCATGACATTTCGCCGATAAAGACAAGTAAAAATAACACAAGATATTTCAACGCAACCCTGCAGAACAGAGATGAATTCCATAGACTTGTGTGTTTCTCGCCGGACAAGCTGAGTGCTTTCACAAATGCAGAGAAAATGAAATCTCCACTGAAACTTACCAACATAGCCATGGTTCCATCTGTAACTGAAACTGGGAAAATAGACATTAAAGTCTCTAGATTTTCGAACCTGAACATTGTGGACAAGCTTCCATTCAAAAGACAAAAATTAGATTTCGACGACAATGTTTCAAATCTGGATGAGTTAAAGATATCACATCAAACGGTATGTACTGCATATTAAAACAGGACCATTTGACTTCAAGGGTGGGTTATGGTTTTTTCCTAAAAACATTATGATCCCCAATTTGATGAAAAAAAATATTCCAAGTGCAGATCTTCCCCACACCTTGTAGAGGTAGTGTTTGATTTTGAAGGAAAAAAAATATATAGTATGATTGTTAACGTTGAACTACCTAAATATTTTAAAGTTATACTATGAATAAAAACCATTGCCAGTGGTCGATCCAGAGAGGGTTTCAACTTTATTTTGATGATTGATACATTTAAAGCAACATTTAACCCCTTCATAACTCGGGATTAAGGACCCCCCTTTTAATATTTGCTGTATCCACCCCTGGTTGCTCCCATAATTTTAAAACTATAAACATTTTAGAGTGACGCTGTCATTGATTGAATGAAATTGTGCGACTTTGGTGAATGAAGTGCATTCCCAATTTCAATAAAAAAAACATAATCCTTATAAAAATTCAACTATAAGTGCATATTAAAACAAACCTCTTCGCTTAAATAGCGAAAACCTAATACAAACAAAAACTATTATATGGTTGGCACGAATGTAATCTGAATAACTCTATTATGAACAACATCACAAGCCGGAACAACCAATCAAACCCAATAATGGGATAAATTGAAAACCGGGGTCTGACCTAATGCAACAAGTCATCTCTTGAAACATAAAAATACATATATCATATTGTATTCTAGATATGAATGGAACTTGAATGTTGCCCTGTCTGCAAAGTGGGTCTCATTGGGGTCTAAGCGTTACGCTGGATTGGCGATTTTTTGTAAGCGTGACACATGAAAGTTGTATTATTGTGCTGTGAAAACAGGAAATGAAGTCTAGCGGGACATGAGAAATTACAAAAAAATCAGAATTGCTTACGTACATAGTGGTAGTGGAATACGGGAATCTGACAAAACAGTAAGCAGGATCCGGGATCAGAACTTCCCATTGAGACCCCCTGCAACAAACTAGAAAGTGATAGTCTCTCGATAGAAAATATCCTGCTATAAATATAATAGTTTTTCTTATATACCTAGTGTTAGACGTAAAATTATAAAAGTATACACAAGTTAGTACTATACATGCAATAAATTCTCCGTATTCTTATGTAGCTTGAGAATTTATACTTGTATAGATTTTTGTAAAATCATGATAATAATGTTATCAGCCATTTAGATGATTTATATTTAGTGAGTCCACAATGATGATATACAGATTGAGTTTACACTTCATTCTGCTTGACTAAATTTTGTTGAAATTGTGGTCCATGTACTTGACATCTGTCATTCAAGTTGTTCCAACACCTGCTACATCATAATATGTAGATATTTCATTATAAATCTTTCGTCCTGAATATGCATGAAATATTTGCCACTGGATGTTAAGCAACCAACAATCAATCATTATAAATCTTCGTTAACAAATACTGAATATTGCATTTTGTGCTTATAAAATATATATTTATGATATCTCTTCTTTTTCTTCAGGTCTCTGTTTCTGCTAAGGTTACTGGTGTATTTGCTGAACAAGAAACAGTTGATGTATATGGTACATCAAAAGAAAAGAAGGAATTCATTATTGCAGATAGCACTTCAGCAATGCCATTGGTGCTATGGAACGAGCAAATTGATTCGGTTCAGAGGAATGAATGTTATAATTTCAAAAATGTTTCAACCAGAATATTTCAAGATAATATAAAATTACCAGCCACAACAAGGACAACCATCACACATATTCCACCAATGGAAAATATAACAACAAACCTGCTTCATATCAAACTTCCGACGACAGTAATTTTGAAAATCCACCAAGTTTCACTCAACAAAACTTACAAGTGTGGATCATGCTCAAAAAATGTAATGGAAAATGACATAGGCAAAGTCACAACTAAATGTACTTCCTGTTCAATGAAACAAAGAAATGAATCTTTAAAACTTGTTTCAATTTGCAAAAAAATGTTGTAGATGATTTGGACAGCAGCCTATCAACAAAACTGACCCTTTTTGATACAGAGTTGAAAGCATTTCTTACTACTATAGATAAAGACGAGCTCATAAATCAAACAGATGATTTTGAAGATTTTATGCTGACCTTACCAAAACTGAGACTGACACATGCTTATAATATAGTTGCTAGCATCTGCATCCAGGAAGACTAATTTTACAATATGCTGGAGATATGATATAACTTTGTCCTTTAAATTTGTTAGTTTGGTTTTTTTGAGGAAAAAAAATGATAATTATTTTTATTTATTGAACATGAACTTGGGCAAGACGCTAACTTTGGATTTTATTGATTTTTTTTACACTTGTTTAACAGGAAATAAACGTGCTTGATTAGAATCTTATTCTTAAATTATTTTAACTTCTAACTATATATCAAGAATTTATTCAATGTTCATAATACTATAAAGTATAGAAATGGGGAATGTGTAGAAAAAACCTGATCAAAATGTACAAAACAACACTTAGGCCAACATTGAATGGGTCTTCAATGTGAAAATTTCCATCAAGAGGCTGACTTGAGCAAGCTCCAAAACATGCATCTACTATGCCAGGAAAATGGACACTGCTCGTACACATTGAAAATACAAGAGATGAACAAACATGAAAACCACACCAGTTTTGATACCAAAAAATATAAATTACTGACTTGAAACAGGCTCAAAATGCTGCAGGTTTAAACATGTTTTGTGAGATCTGAATTTCACCTCTTGCCCTCTAGCCACTGTAGAATAAATAAACACCTATTGAAAGATAATTTTAAAATCTAGTTCAAAAGAAGTCCTGGTCCTGAATTAGTTTAAAGAATTTCGACTTTGCAGTGATTTTTGTATAACTTAATCATGACCTGTTTAAATTCAATGTTCCATCTGATAATTTTTTTGCCACATTTAATATCATTGAACATAAAAGATTCACATAAATCACTATTCCATTTTTGTTTGAGGCAATAATCAAAATCAAGGAGAAAAATATATCAAAATCAAGGAGAGAAATAAAAGACTCAAAAACCAAAATACATTTACAACAACCAGTAAAAAACAAGAGTGAAATCAGGCCTTGAGGTTATGCTTGAACATTTTGATTTGATGTTGGTACATAACTTGGTCATGAGCAGATACTTATGTTCGCATATGTTCATCCGATGTTGTTATTATCCTTTTGCAGTAATTCATGCACATGAAGTTTCACACAATTTATATGAAATGTGAACTTTTGTCATCACTTGGGAGTCTGTCTGTAGTATGCATCTGTTGTCCACTCTTAACCACAAAAAATCTTCTCTGAAACTACTGAACCAATTCAAAATTCAACCACGCCAAATTCAGCTGAAAGATCCTTAGAGTATCACAAACCATGACTGCCATTTCTTTAAATAGAAGGAAGGAAAATAATTTTTGAGTTGGTATAATGATTTATCATCACTGTCCAAAAACACATTTGGTTTCCAGACAAAAACTTTTGTTCAGTGATTGAATCTTGATTAAATTTGACAAGAAAGTTCAATACCCCAATAGGTAGGTTGAGATTGATTTGGGGGATTATGGTTCCAATAGTAAAGGAATTATGTCAATATAAAAAAGAAGATGTGATATGATTGCCAATGAGACGACTCTCCACAAGAGACCAAAATGACAGAAATTAACAACTATAGGTAACCGTACAGTCTTCAACAATGTGCAAATCCCATACCGCATAGTCGGCTATAACAGGCCCCAAAATGACAAAGTAAAACAATTCAAACGAGAAAACTTTTCTCTTCACTTGACATCTGTCATCGTTGTCAGTTAATTTTACAAACATTTTCTCTGAAAATCCAGGGCCAAATTTTATCAAACTTTGCCACAATCATTGAAATCTGTTGTTGGGTTGCTGCCACTTACGTGGTAGTTCTTTGTTAATTTTGCAGGATTTTGGTTATCTAGAATATTATTAGAGCTATATACAATCTGTAAACAGCAATAACATTCAACAAAGTAAGATCTACAAATAAGCCAACATGGCCAAAATAGACAATTGATCCTTAAAGCAATTATTGCCGTTCATAGTAAATTTTTTTAATCTCTTCCAAAAATCTTCTCTGAAACTACTGAGACAAATTAAACCATTCTTGACCACAGTCATTAGAGTATCAAGTTTAAAAAATGAGTGATGGCTGACATGGCTAAGAATAGAACATGGGGACGAAATGCAGTTTTTTGCTTAGATCTCTAAAACTAAAGACAGGTTAAGATCGAACTGCCCTGAAATTTCCAGACAAATCGGACAACCTGTTGTTAGGTAGTTGTAAGACCATTTTGCAGCTTTTAATTATTATAAATAGAAATAAACTTTAAAGTGCAATAATTTCCAGCAAAGTAAGATCTACAAATATGTCAACATGGCCAAACTGGTCAATTGACCCCTTTATGGCCATTATATGCAATTTTTATACAACCGCAAAAATTTTTTTGGGATCGTATAATGGTATGATGTCGTCATCGTCCGAAGACACATTGGTTTCCGGACAATAACTTTAGTTTAAGTGAATGGATCTCTATGAAATTTTTTAAGAAGGTTCAAAACCACAAAAGGAAGGTTGGGATTTATTTTGGGGATGATGGTCCCAACCTTTTAGGAATTAGGGGCCCAAAATGAGCCCAAAACAAGCATTTTTCTAGTTTCAGGATAATAATTTGTGTATAAGTATTTCGATTGCTCTGAAATTGTACCACAATGTTTAATACCACAAGTAGAAGGTTGGGATTCATCGTAGGGGTTATGGGGCGAACAGGTAAGGAATTAAGGGCCAAAAAGGGCCAAAAACAAGCATTTTTCTAGTTTCCAGATAATAACTTGTGTGTAAGTGTATGGATCTCTCTGACATTGTAACACAAGGTTCCATATCACAAAGGGAAGTCTGGGATTGAGTTTGCGGTTAATTGCCCAAAACATGTAGGAATTAGGGGCAAAAAAGGGCAAAAACAAGCATTTTTCTAGTTTCCGGACTATAACTTGTGTGTAAGTGTATGGATCTCTCTGACATTGTAACACAAGGTTCCATATCACCAAGGAAAGTCTGGAATTGAGTTTGGGGTTAATTGCCCAAAACATGTAGGAATAAGGGGGCAAAATGTTTCCAGACAATAACTTGAGTGTAAGTGTATGGATCTCTCTAAAATTGTACTACAAGGTTCCATACTACAAAGGAAAGGCTGGGATTGATTAATGGGGTTATTGCTCCAAGGAGGGTTTCAAAAAGTTGGGGGGGGGGGGATTTTTTTTCCAATTTTTTCAGGGGATTCATATTTTTTTTCAAAATTTTTCATACTTCGAATTTTTGAAAATTTTCAAGAAGAAATCTTCCATTGCACAGTATTGCGCAATAGATTTGAAAGACATTTGACCACATTTATTTTGTGTCAGAAACCTATATTAGGTCAAAAATTTGATCACAATCCAAATTCAGACAGTATCAAGCTTGAATATTGTGTCCAAATTTGCCCCAACTGTTCAGGGTTTGACCTCTGCGGTCGTATCAGGCTGTGCTCAGCGAAGCATTTTATTTACAAAATTCTCCACTTGATCTACTGGGCCGAATAGAAATAAACTTGGCCACAATTTTCAGTAGGTTATCATGACTTGTTTGAAAAAATGTATCAGATGACCCTGCCATCAAACCGACTTTGCTAAAATAGAATATAGAAGTTAACTGTTTAGAAGTCTATGAGAAAATTGTAAAAATAAATTCTGAATGGTCACAACTTGATCACTTATTCAAATAATAGTGATAAGATGTCTTCAGTAGCTATTGTAAGACTACACTAAGATGACCTGCTTTTAATTTTAAATACTGTGCCAAATTAAACCAAACTTGGTCTCAATCGTTATATAATTTTACATGATTTCCAAAACCACATTAGATACAGGTGAGCGACACAGGCTCTTGAGACCCTCTAGTTATTAATTCCACACATTTTTGTCCGCGCTAGTTCTCGGAATTTAATGGACCAATGTTGATGTAACTCTACTATAATGAGGACCCCCATGTGAAGTTGTGCACCTTGCTATGGAGTGGTTCAAGATGGCCACCGTTTCCATGGAAACAATTAAAATGTAAAAAAAAAAAAATTCCAAATCTTTTATTATAAGACTAGTCTGGATGAAACTTTATGGAAATGTTCCTTCATATGCCTAGATGATTTTTGAGTATTTAGAAATTCCAAAATGGCTGCCATTGTCATGGAAACAGAGTGAAAGTTTAACATTAGCCGTATGGGAAAACACATTAAAACAGCATGTTCTTAAAGAATATGAAATTAAACCCATATAAACTTTATGGGTAAGTAACATGTAATGGGTCAAAGGGGTATCTGTCTTTGGAATTTTGAAAATGGCTACCGTTACCATGGAAACTTCAAAAATTTCAAATTGCACCAAACTTGAAGAAACTTCACAGAAATGTTAACTGTCATGTGCAGAACTGATGTATGATTTTGGAATTTTCAAAATGGCCGCCGTTACCATGGAAAAAGGGCGAACGTTAAACATTGACCCTATGGGAAAACACATTAAAGCTGCATTTTCTTAAAGAATATAATGTTAAACCCAATCAAACTTTATCGTTAAGTTACATGTAATGGGTCAAAGGGGTATCTGTCTTTGGAATTTTAAAAATGGCTGCAGTTTAGTGGCAATATGGACTGGGTGCCATCCGCTATTGCTTGCAATTGCAAATCTAGTTATGTCACCCGATCGACAATGTCGGGTGACATATTGCTTTTCCTCTGTTTCTTTTTCCCTATTATTATTATGGCACCCTCAACAGAGTTGGGGTGACATATTGTTATTCTACGTTTCTTTTTTATATGGCACCCTCAACGGAGTTGGGGTGACATATTGTTATTCTACGTTTCTTTTTTTTTTTCTTATTCTTCTTCCACACATTTTGTCGGTCGTGTTTCTCTGAATTTATTGGACCAATGTTGATGGATCTTTACTATAATGAGGACCCATGTAAAGTTGTGCACCTTGGTATGGAATGGTTCAATATGGCCGCCGTTTCCATGGAAACAGCAAAAATGCGAAAAAAATCAAAGTGTCCCAAATGGAAAGAAACTTCACAGAAATGGTAACTGGCATGTGCTGATTTGCAGTTTGACTTAGGAATTTTCAAAATGGCCGCCGTTACCATGGAAACTGCAAAAATGTCAAAAATTTCAAAATGCTCAAAACTTATTGAAACTTTACAAAAATGTTAATCAGCATGTGTAGATGCACTCTTTGACTTTGGAATTTTCAAAATGGCTGCCGTTACCCTGGCAATGGGGGAAGGGTGCCATCCATTATTGCTAGCAATTACAAATCCAGTTATGTCACCCAATCGACAATGTCGGGTGACATATTGCTTTTCCTCTGTTTCTTTTTCCCTATTATTATGTCACCCGATCGACAATGTCGGGTGACATATTGCTTTTCCTCTGTTTCTTTTTCCCTATTATTATTATTATTTTTCTTAATTAAAAATTAAAATGCTGCAAACTGAATGAAACTTTACAGAAATGGTAACTGGCATAGGCTGAGTTGCATTTTGAAGTTGGAATTTTCAAAATGGCCCCTGTAACCATGGAAACAGCAAAAATGTCCCAAATTTCAAAATGCTCCAAACTTAATGAAACTTTACAAAAAGGATAATTTGCATGTGTAGATGCACTCTTTGACTTTGGAATTTTCTAAATGGCTGCCACTCACCTGGCAAGGGGGGAAGGGTGCCATCCGCTATTGCTTGCAATTGCAAATCTAGTTATGGCACCCTCAACGGAGTTGGGGTGACATACTGTTATTCTACGTTTCTTTTTTTTCTTATTTTTCTTCCACACATTTTGTCCGCGCGAGTTCTTGGAATCCAATGGACCAATGTTGATGGAACTCTACTATAATGAGGACCCCCATGTAAAGTTGTGCACCTTGCTATGGAATGGTAAAAAATGGCCGCCGTTTCCATGGAAACAGCAAAAATGCGAAAAAAATCAATGTGTTCCAAACTGGAAGAAACTCCACAGAAATGTTAACTGGCATGTGCTGATTTGCAGTTTGACTTTGGAATTTTCAAAATGGCTGCCGTTACCATGGAAACAGCTAAAATATCAAAAATTCTAACTCTTTCGTTATAAGACCCAACTGGATGAAACTTTATGAAAATATTACCCAGTATGCTAAGATGTCAAGACAATATTTGGATAGTCCAAAATGGCCGCCGTTGTCATGGAAACATGGGGCAAGTTTTACATTGACCCTATGGGAAAATGCATAAAATCAGCATTTTCTTAAAGAGTATTTCACCAAAGTCAATGAAACTGTATTGATATATAACATGACATGTGGCAATGTCATGTCTGCTTTTCGAATTTTGGAATTATCCACTGTAACCATGGAAACAGCAAAAATGTCCAAAATTTCAAAAAAAATCAAAATGCTGCAAACTGGATGAAACTTTACAGAAATGGTAACTGGCATAGGCAGAGTTGCATTTTGCAGCTGGAATTTTTAAAATGGCCGTCGTAACCATGGAAACAGCCAAAATGTCAAAAATTTCAAAATGCTCCAAACTTAATGAAACTTTATAAAAATGATAATTTGCATGTGTAGATGCACTCTTTGACTTTGGAATTTGCTAAATGGCTGCCACTCACCTGGCAATGGGTGAAGGGTGCCATCCGCTATTGCTTGCAATGGCAAATCTAGTTGTTGTCGAGCCTGCGACTTTTGTCGCAGAAATCTCGACATAGGGATAGTGATCCGGCGGCGGCGACGGCGTTAACTAACTTCTTAAAAGCTTTATATTTTAGAAGGTGGAAGACCTGGATGCTTCATACTTTGTTTATGGATGCCTCATGTTACGAAGTTTCCGTCAGTCACATGTCCAATGTCCTTGACCTCATTTTCATGGTTCAGTGACTACTTGAAAAAAAAAGTTAACATTTTTTGTAATGTTAAATTCTCTCTTATTATAAATAGTAGGATAACTATATTTGGTATGTGCGTACCTGACAAGGTACCCATGCCCGTCAGACAGTTTTCACTTGACCTCCACCTCATTTCATGGATCAGTGAACAAGGTTAAGTTTTGGTGGTCAAGTCCATATCTCAGATACTATAAGCAATAGGTCAAGTATATTCGGTTTATGGAAGGACTGTAAGGTGTACATGTCTAACTGGCAGGTGTCATCTGACCTTGACCTCATTTTCATGGTTCAGTGGTTATAGTTAAGTTTTTGTGTTTTGGTCTGTTTTTCTTATACTGTATGCAATAGGTCTACTATATTTGGTGTATGGAATGATTGTAAGGTGTACATGTCTAGCTGGCAGGTGTCATTTGACCTTGACCTCATTTTCATGGTTCAGTGGTTATAGTTAAGATTTTGAGTTTTTGACTTTTTTTTCTAATACTATATGCAATAGATCAACTATATTTGGTTTATGGAAATATTTTATGATCTATAGTTCAGTCGCGCAGGTTTTATTTGACCTTGACCTCATTTTCACAGTTCATTGCTCAGTGTTAAGTTTTTGTGTTTTGGTCTGTTTTTCTTAAACTATAAGCAATAGGTCAACTATATTTGTTGTATGGAAGAATTGTTAGCTGTACATGCCTGCCTGGCATGGTTCATCTGACCTTGACCTCATTTTCATGGTTCATTGGTCAATGTTTAGTTTTCTTGGTTAATGTTAAGTTTATGTGACAGTTGTAATAAAGCTTTATATTTAGGACTATCAACATAATATCAATGATTAGTAAAGAAGGCGAGACATTTCAGCGTGTGCACTCTTGTTATTATTTTTCTTCCACACATTTTTGTCCGCGCGAGTTCTTGGAATCCAATGGACCAATGTTCATGGAACTCTACTACAATGAGGTCCCCATATAAAGTCGTGCACCTTGCTATGGAATGGTAAAAAATGGCAGCCGTTTCCATGGAAACTACTCAAACAAGAAAAAATCTAGTTTTTGGTTTTGGTGAATTATTACGATATGCTTAATTTTAGAATCATTATATTTTAATACAATGTAGGTGCTCACTATATACTGGTTTTGGTATGATTTTGGCAATCAATGGAACAACTATGTTGCCATGGAAACTACACCAAAAATTTCAAAAATATCAAAATGCTTCAAATTTAATGAAATTTCATAGTAACGATGAGCAACATTGGTAGATGTGAAATTTGGCGTTGGAATTTCGAAAATGTCTGCCGTTACCATGGAAACAATGCAAAAAGGTCAAAATGCTCCAAAAACTTAAGGGTTTGGTGAATAATATGGGTATGCTATAACTTGAAATCATCAAATTTTTATACAATGTAGTTGTCCACTATATACAAGATTTGGATAATTTTCACAATCATTAGAACTACTATGTTACCATGGATACAGCAGCATAATTTTCAAAATTTTCAGAATGCTTCAAACTTAATGAAACTTCACAATAATGTTGACTGGCAGGTGTAGAAGTGGTAATTGGTGTTGGAATTTCTAAAATGGCTGCCGTTGTCATGGAAACTGGGGGCAAGTTTAACATTGACCCTATGGGAAAATGCATAAAATCAGCAATTTCTTAAAGAGTATTTCACCAAAGTGAATGAAACTGTATTGATATATAACATGACACGTGGCAATGAGATGTCTGCTTTTAGGATTTTGGAATTGTCCACTGTAACCATGGATACAGCAAAAATGTCCAAAGTTTCAAAAAATTCAAAGTGTTCCACAGGAATGGTAACTGGCATGTGCTGATTTGCAGTTTGACTTCGAAATTTTCAAAATGGCTGCCGTTACCATGGAAACAGCTAAAATATCAAAAAAACTCTTTCGTTATAAGACCCAACTGGATGAAACTTTATGAAAATGTTACCCAGTATGCTAAGATGTCAAGACAATATTTGGATAGTCCAAAATGGCTGCCCTTGTCATGGAAACTGGGGTGCAGGTTTTACATTGACCCTATGGGAAAATGCATAAAATCAGCATTTTCTTAAAGAGTTTTTCACCAAAGTCAATGAAACTGTATTGATATATAACATGACATGTGGCAATGAGATGTCTGCTTCTAGAATTTTGGAATTATCCACTGTAACCATGGAAACAGCAAAAATATCCAAAATTTCCAAAAAAATCAAAATGCTGCAAACTGGATGAAACTTTACAGGAATGGTAACTGGCATGGGCAAAGTTGCGTTTTGAAGTTGGAATTTTTAAAATGGCCACCGTAACCATGGAAACAGCAAAAATGTCCAAAATTTCAAAATGCTCCAAACTTAATGAAACTTTACAAAAATGATAATTTGCATGTGTAGATGCACTCTTTGACTGGAATTTTCTAAATGGATGCCCCTCGCCTGGCAATGGGGGAGGGGGCCATCCGCTATTGCTTGCAATGGCAAATCTAGTTCTTATTATTTTTCTTGCACAAATTTTGTCCGCGCGAGTTCTTGGAATCCAATGGACCAATGTTGATGGAACTCTAATATAATGAGGACCCCCATGTAAAGTTGTGCACCTTGCTATGGAATGGTAAAAAATGGCCGCCGTTTCCATGGAAACAGCAAAAATGCGTAAAAAATCAAAGTGTTCCAAACTGGAAGAAACTCCACAGGAATGGTAACTGGCATGTGCTGATTTGCAGTTTGACTTCGGAATTTTCAATATGGCTGCCGTTACCATGAAAACAGCTAAAATATAAAAAATTCTTACTCTTCCTTTATAAGACTCAACTGGATGAAACTTAATGAAAATGTTACCCAGTATGCCAAGATGCCAAGACAATATTTGGATACTCCAAAATGGCCGCCGTTGTCATGGAAACATGGGGCAAGTTTAACATTGACCCTATGGGAAAATGCATAGAATCAGCATTTTCTTAAAGAGTATTTCACCAAAGTCAATGAAACTGTATTGATATATAACATGACATGTGGCAATGAGATGTCTGCTTTTAGAATTTTGGAATTATCCATTGTAACCATGGCTGCAGCATAAATGTCCAAAATTTAAAAAAAAATCAAAATGCTGCAAACTGGATGAAACTTTACAGAAATGGTAACTGGCATAGGCAGAGTTGCATTTTGAAGTTGGAATTTTCAAAATGGCCGCCGTAACCATGGAAACATCAAAAATGTCCAAAATTTCAAAATGCTCCACACTTAATGAAACTTTACAAAAAGGATAATTTGCATGTGTAGATGCACTCTTTGACTTTGGAATTTTCTAAATGGCTGTCACTCACCTGGCAAATATTGCTTGCAATTGCAAATCTAGTTATTATTATTATTATTCCACCTTTTTTTGTTCGCCCATTTTCTCACAGATTAATGGACCAATTCTATTGAATGGGTACCACAATGAGGACCACCAACTCTAGTTATGCACGACACCTTTGGAATTTTTTAAATTGCCGCCGTTACCATAGAAACAGAAAAAAGGTGAAAAAATAAAAATTTAGGGTTTAGTGATTTATTTGGGTATGCTTAAACTTAAAATCATTAAATTTTAATACAATGTAGTTGTCCACTATATACAGATTTTGGATGATTTTGACAATGATCGGAACTACTATGTTGCCATGGAAACTGCAGCAAAAAAATCAAAAATTTCAGAATGCTTCAAACTTGATGAAACTTCACAGTAATGATGAGCAACATTTGTAAATGTGGTATTTGGCGTTGGAATTTCAAAAATGGCTGCCGTTACCAAGGAAACAATATAAAAAAGGTCAAAATGCTCTAAAAACCCTTCTAAAAACCTTTAAGTAGCATTTCCTCTCTTAATATGGTTAAACTCAGTGAAACTTTAATGGTATGTTCCCTCTCATGTACCAATGGGGTGCCTGTCATTAAAATTTTGGAATTGGTCACCATTACCATGGAAACAGCAAAAATGTCCAAAATTTCAAAATGCTCCAAAGTTACTGAAACTTATTATGTATATTGACTGGCAACTGTAGATGAGACTTTTGACTTTGGAATTTCCAAAATGGCCGCCGTTGCCATGGAAACATCAAAAATGTCCAAAATTTCAAAATGCTCCACACTTAATGAAACTTTACAAAAAGGATAATTTGCATGTGTAGATGCACTCTTTGACTTTGGAATTTTCTAAATGGCTGTCACTCACCTGGCAAATATTGCTTGCAATTGCAAATCTAGTTATTTTTATTATTATTCCACCTTTTTTTGTTCGCCCATTTTCTCACAGATTAATGGACCAATTCTATTGAATGGGTACCACAATGAGGACCACCAACTCTAGTTATGCACGACACCTTTGGAATTTTTTAAATTGCCGCCGTTACCATAGAAACAGAAAAAAGGTGAAAAAATAAAAATTTAGGGTTTAGTGATTTATTTGGGTATGCTTAAACTTAAAATCATTAAATTTTAATACAATGTAGTTGTCCACTATATACAGATTTTGGATGATTTTGACAATGATCGGAACTACTATGTTGCCATGGAAACTGCAGCAAAAAAATCAAAAATTTCAGAATGCTTCAAACTTGATGAAACTTCACAGTAATGATGAGCAACATTTGTTAATATGGTATTTGGCGTTGGAATTTCAAAAATGGCTGCCGTTACCAAGGAAACAATATAAAAAAGGTCAAAATGCTCTAAAAACCCTTCTAAAAACCTTTTAAGTAGCATTTCCTCTCTTAATATGGTTAAACTCAGTGAAACTTTAATGGTATGTTCCCTCTCATGTACCAATGGGGTGCCTGTCATTAAAATTTTGGAATTGGTCACCGTTACCATGGAAACAGCAAAAATGTCCAAAATTTCAAAATGCTCCAAAGTTACTGAAACTTATTATGTATATTGACTGGCAACTGTAGATGAGACTTTTGACTTTGGAATTTCCAAAATGGCCGCCGTTGCCATGGAAACAGCAAATATGTGTAAAATTTCAAAAAGCTCCAAATGTTCTGAAAATTTACAGAAAAATGTATAGCCAAGCAAATATGTGCATTCACTGTTTGAAATTTTTGAAATGGCTGCCGCTTAGTGGCAATGGGGGAAGGGTGACATCCGCTATTGCTTGCAATAGCAATTCTAGTTATTATTATTATTCCACCTTTTTTGTCCTAGAGATTTCTCATAGATTAGTGGACCAATCATTATGAATGGGTACCATAATGAGGACCACCGTCTCTAGTTATGCAGGACACCTTTGGAATTTTTTAAATGGCCACCGTTTCCATGGAAACCGCAACAAGGTGAAAAATTTTCAAAGAGCCAATTCTTTTATTATTAGACCAAACCAAATGAAACTTTATGGAAATGTTGCCTGGTATGTGTGGAAGCACCGACTATATTTAGAAATTCTAAAATGGCTGCCATTGCCATGGAAACTGGGCAAAAGTTTAACATTGACCCTATGGGAAAACATATTAGAAGGAGCATTTTCTTAAAGAATATATGATTAAACCAAATGAAACTGCAATCATTTGTAACATGTCATCAGTCAGTGTGGCATATGTCTTTGGAATTTTGGAATTAATCACCGTTACCATGGAAACAGCAAAAATTTCAAAAATTTCAAAAATGCTCCAAATTTAATGAAACTTAATATCAATGTTAACTGGCAAGTATAGATGAGACTTTCCACTTTGGAATTTCCAAAATGGCCGCCGTTGCCATGGAAACATCAAAAATTTCAAAAATTTCAAAAAGCTCTTTATGTTCTGAAAATTTGCAGAAAGGTGTATAGCAATGCATATATGTGCATCCACTGTTTAAAATTTTCGAAATGGCTGCCGCTCAGTGGCAATGGGGGAAGGGTGACATCCGCTATTGCTTGCAATAGCAATTCTAGTTATTAAGTCTCCCAAACGAAGTTTGGGAAGACTTATTGTTTTTGCTCAGTTATTATTATTATTCTTCTTCTTCTTCTTCTTCTTCTTCTTCTTCTTCTTCTTCCGCCGCTTTTAAATTTGAACTTGTCCGCACCCGTTCTCCAAAACCGCTTGTCAGATTAACTTAGGGTTTCACAATATGTTAGACTAACATGTCTAG